TGGATAATAACATCACAAAACCACATCAAAACGTAATTACTTTGAAATGGAATTGATTAAGACGTGCTTTAGTTGGGATAGTATAAAGAGAAGGATCCAGCAATAGATTCGGAAGAAGCGTGGGATATGGAATATAGCAGTGCTATAGGCTATAGCTATATAGGTGTGACAGTTTAGGGCTAATAAGGAGAGAGAGATAGAGAGAGAGAGGGTCAGGTGGTAAAATAATAAAGGAGGTTGAGTGAAAAAAAGAGTGAATAAAGTGAAGTAACTAGGGTTTCATGTGAATCCAGAGTACAGTGTATGTCTTCGTGTAAACTGTCCTTTTCTTGCTTTACCCCTTTTTCCTGTGGGGACCCTTTTGATTTTGTATTTACACTGAGTTCCTACCACACCACAACTTTCCCCTCTCCGTATTTATTGATTTCCCTTCTTATTTCCTCTTTTGTCTCTATTTATAATAACAATTTTGTTTAGTTTCAATTGTCTTACAAATGAATTGCATCTGTGATGCGACCATTCTTCATGAATTTTAGTATGCGTTGAATCCCATGCATTACGTGTTCAGATGTTTTTCAGTAACATTGAGGTAAAGAAAACTTGTATTTCCATTATTCCAAAAATCACAGTATATATCTTTTTTGTTTTGTTTTTCTCCTTAAGATCACATCATTAAGCAAACATAACCCAATCGAAAATGTCATCCATGAATATCATTCATTTAATATATTAACAATATGACTACAATACTTGACTACTTCTTTTTTCTCCACTTTTTTTTGTTTGCTTTCTCTTGTAACTATGATTTAATTGTTAATATTTGCCGCTCAAGTAAGATGATGACTGGCCTTAAAATCCATAAACACAAAAGATTATGAAAGAAGCATCGAGTTTAGGTCGGGTTAAGATAGTCAACGGCTTAATATTGTGAGCTACCGTAGAGTTTAAAAAGTATTGGATGTAACGATCACACTAGAAGCCTCTATATATGTTTTTAAGATGGAATCAGTTATTTGTTCTAAAAAAGAACGCAGTGTGCGGAGATATTTCCGGATTCCCTTTAGAAAACGAGAAAGTGTATTTAGGATTCACATGATCTATATTTTTAAGTGCACTTTTTTCTTTTTGTTTCACTCACATGAAAGGAGTGAATGTAATATGTGTTGCTAACAAAATAAAGCAAAAAAAAAAAAAAAACAACAAATCTGCAATTAGGTTTTGGAAGGGATGAGTTACATTTGTGAAACCTCACATCTTGTACTGTGTACTGTAATGAGTCAAAAACTTACCAAGTTTCTGAGTGAACTGACAAAAGAATCTTAGGAATTATTACGAAATGGGGCAAACAGGCCTGAAGGCCCAAAATGAATATTTGTGTTGACAACGGGCCCAAATTGAATCCAAAAGTCGTTTCTTGGTGTGGATGATGTGATACTACTCGCTTTCCCGGCCTTGGAGAAAAAGCTGTAGATGCTTCTTGTTTTGGGGGCGTGAGCTTTACGCGCATAAGAGTAGTAAATTTGAGATGGGACCCATATGAGGACAGCACAACTCACAAACCCAAAAGGCGTATTTACTATTTGGAGATGAATCGATGTTTACGTCCCAAACCGACAGTCTCCTTTCCAAGCCACGCCTTCCTCGGCTTCTTCTTCTTTGCTTCCCACTCACTATCACATTCACATGCCCTCTTTTCTTTTTATATTTATTTTTCCTTCTCTCAATTTCACTTTCAAGTTAAGTATCATCACATTCACATACACATCGTTCTCTATAAAAAATGTACATAATTTTGTATACGTGTGAAGTTTCTAGAATTTCGCTTACCAAATTAAGAAAAAAAGAGTTCAAAAGGGATGTTTAAGCCGATCCGAGCCGAGCTGGGATGAGTTAAAAAAGCTAAAAAGTGAGCAAACATTATAAATTTTGGGTGGTCCCTACACCAGCCTGGTCCGAAAGGTCGTAAAACCCCCCGAAACTACACTACACAGACACACAACCAAACTCATCTCTCTCTCACACTTCCACTTGCCATCGCCGACACTTCAAGCTAAATAAAAATTAAAAAAGTAAACTCTTTCTTTCACCAGAATTAAAATAAAACAAAAGGAGAACATTATTGTTCCGTCTTTCTGATTAATCCGATCTATCACAGCTCCATGGATCGCCGTATCTGTGGTGGCTCCGCCGTCACCATTCTCTTTCTCTTACTTCTTTTCTTCACCGCCGCATCTGCATTATCCAAGAACCCGAATCCTTCATCCGGGTCGGGTCAGATCAACTCCAACTCCGTCCTCGTAGCTCTCCTCGACTCTCGTTACACGGAGCTCTCCGAGCTCGTCGAGAAGGCTCTTCTCCTCCAGACACTCGAAGACGCCGTTGGTCGCCACAATATTACCATTTTTGCCCCTCGCAATGAAGCGCTCGAGCGCGACCTTGACCCGGAGTTCAAGCGGTTCTTGCTCGAGCCAGGTAATCTCAAATCTCTGCAGACACTCCTCATGTTCCACATTATCCCCAACCGTGTCGGGTCAGACCAATGGCCCACCGAGGAATCGGGTCGGGTCAAACACCTCACGCTAGGCAACGATCAGGTCCATTTGAGCAAGACCAAAGGAGACGGCAAGAAGATGGTTGATTCGGCTGAGATAATCCGACCCGACGACTTGACCCGACCCGACGGATTAATTCACGGGATCGAACGGCTTCTCATCCCTCGCTCCGTTCAAGAGGATTTCAATCGCCGTCGGAGCCTCCAATCAATATCCGCCGTCTTACCCGAAGGAGCTCCCGAGGTTGACCCGAGAACTAACCGTCTCAAGAAAAAAGCTGCTCCAGTTCCCGCCGGATCCCCACCGGCTCTCCCGATCCAGTTCGCCATGGCTCCTGGCCCATCGCTAGCTCCGGCGCCGGCTCCGGGACCGGGAGGCAAGCAACACCACTTCGACGGTGAAGCTCAGGTCAAGGATTTCATTCACACGCTGTTGCATTACGGCGGTTACAATGAGATGGCAGACATTCTCGTGAATCTGACGTCGCTCGCGACGGAGATGGGTAGGTTGGTATCGGAAGGATATGTGCTAACGGTTCTTGCTCCGAACGACGAAGCCATGGCGAAACTGACGACGGATCAGCTGAGCGAGCCAGGAGCTCCGGAGCAGATCGTGTATTACCACATTATCCCGGAGTATCAGACGGAGGAGAGTATGTACAATTCCGTTAGGAGATTTGGGAAGGTGAAGTTCGATACGCTGCGTTTTCCTCACAAGGTTGCGGCTAAGGAAGCTGATGGTTCGGTTAAGTTTGGAGACGGTGAGAGGTCGGCGTATTTGTTCGATCCAGACATTTATACGGACGGTCGAATTTCGGTTCAGGGGATCGATGGTGTTTTGTTCCCTGAAGAAGAGGAGACTGTTGAGTCGGTTAAAAAACCGGTTAAGAAAGTGGTTCAACAGAGAAGAGGTACGTTTTTTGTTTTCGTTTCGTTAATTGAATCATTGATCTTACATTTGTGTTTACAATTGGCAAGTTAGTTGATTAAGCACCAATAGTTTTGGTAAACTGATCTGATTGCATGAGCCATGATTAAATTCAGTTGACTTCCTGGTTTATATTGAGGATTGGTTGTTTTGTGAAAGTCTGAGAAAGATTAGGGTTCCGAGAATGTAAGATGGGTCTAGTAATTCGAACAAGATTAGAGTTCTAAGAAAGTAAGCTAGCAAGAGGTAGAGTATATAAGAAAAGTAAAGAATTTTTGGAAAATTGGATGATATTAAACACAAGCAAGAATCAAAGAAGGGTTAGGCCATAGCCCTTAGCTAAGCTGGCTACAAGCATCTTTGTCACGTTTCCTACTTTCAAGATGGTTTGTTAGTTATATTATTGGGTAATTTGTTAAATAGCTTTTTGTAAAGTACAAATAATGTTATTATAAACTAAGGGGGACAATCATGGAGAGATTAGAGAGTGTGTGATTGTGATGGACTTTGACCTAATAAAAGGTGTTATTGTTGTGATTGAAACAAACAGGGAAATTGCTGGAAGTAACATGTAGTATGCTTGGTGCATTTGGCAAGGACTCTTATCTCAGCAAATGCCGGTGAATTCTCAAACCCGCCAAAGAATTTATGTAAACACATTATAAAAAAAAAAGGTTTGGATTTTTTGAGATCTTTTGTTATTTTCGTTTCTGTCTGTTCATCGATCGGTTCATGATAATAGCGATGGTAACAGGAATTTGTGTCTTTCTCTTTACTCAGGTGACTGAAGATTTGGCCTTGGGGTGAATAGAAAACGAAGAGATGACAACAACGTTCAAAAACCCAAATCTTCTATGGAATGAGCAGGATGTTTTTGTTTCTCTTAAATATATATATATATATCTTTTTGGGGGGTCGTTTTATATTTGGTCTTGGATAATGAATACTGTAATTAGATATATCAATCATTTTTTAATTAATTTGGTGGTGTATGAGAACGAGAGTATACATTTAATAAAAAGGGAAACAAAAGAGAGAACAAAACCTTTTCTTTCATCTTACGGATTTGTTTTTCTTTTTGTGTGGTCATCGGTACTGTTTTACTATGAGGAAAGTATATATTTCATTTGGTAAGGGAATAATTAAAATTGGAATCATCTTCACTATGATGAATTGATGATCATAGATGCCTCTTGAATCTTGACTTTATTGTTTTGGGAGAATGTATTATACATAAATATGAAATATCTGGTAGAATAAGTCATCACATGGACATGTCAAATGGGTTGGCTCATGGCTGTGTTGTCTGATTGAAGGACAAACACAAACTTAGCTGTCCCAATTCTCAAGTCTCAAGTCTTAATACTGAAGTTGTCTGAATTTTCCATGTGGTCATCGGTACTGATTACTAAAAGACAAATTGTTAACTAATCAACCTAACCGCTCGATTTGACCGTTATTTTCCCTCTCTTCATTCCAGTTGATTTAGGAATTGACTTCCGATTAAAAAAAAGAACAGCAATGAAGGCTTTGTTTCGATTCAAGTCTATCTTATTTGATCCAACCCGAAGAAACCCACTCGTCTCTTTCTCAGCTTTCTCAAAGTCTTCGAAATCCAAAACCCGTGAAACGCCATCGAAGGCTCAAACAGAAGCTACATCTATCACCTCACTTTTCAACGAGATTACTCAAATTTTAGGATCGGATGTCGTCGAATCAGACGAGTCTACACAGCTGAGATTTCCGGTGTCGGGAGAAACCCACGCGACAGGAGCAGTCAGTGGTGATCGAGCATTAGTTTCTTGCACGCAAAGTGTTCGTGAAAATGCTGCAATGGGGTTTTCAGGTGAGAATGAGAAGGCTAAAGAAGGTGTTGTTCTTGAAGAATTCGATGTCAGCCCTTTGGTTCGTGAGATTACGAGCGTCGTCAGGGCAGATGACGATATTTTGGTTTCCATGGAGGAGAAGTTAGAGAAGCTGAGTTTTCGGTTTGAACCAGATACCGTGGAAAAGGTACTCAAGAGGTGCTTTAAGGTTCCTCATTTGGCTCTGAGGTTCTTTAATTGGGTGAAAGACAAGGATGGTTATTCACATACAGTCGGAGTTTACAACACCATGCTAACCATAGCTGGGGAAGCCAGGGATCTCCATATGGTAGACGAGCTGGTGAAAGAAATGGAGAGAAACTCCTGTGATAAGGATATTAGGACATGGACTATTCTCATCTCTGTGTACGGGAAAGCGAAAAAGATCGGAAAAGGGCTGCTCGTCTTTGAGAAGATGAGGAAAAGTGGCTTCGAACCCGATGCCTCGGCTTACAATATCATGATTAGGTCTCTATGCATCGCCGGTAGAGGTGATCTTGCGCTTGAGTTCTACAAGGAGATGATCGAGAAGGGTATCACTTTTGGATTGAGAACGTACAAGATGTTACTGGATTGTACAGCGAAATCGGAGAAAGTTGATGTAGTTCAGTCCATTGCAGATGACATGGTTAGGATATGTGAGGTTTCAGAACATGATGCTTTCGGTTATTTGCTCAAGAGTTTTTGTATCTCTGGCAAGATAAGAGAAGCCTTGGAACTGATCCGCGAGTTGAAAAACAAGGAAGTGTGCCTCGACGCCAAGTATTTTGAGATTTTGGTGAAAGGACTTTGCAGAGCCAATAGAATCGTAGATGCCCTGGAGATTGTCGATATCATGAAGAATAGAAAGATGCTGGATGATTCAAATGTCTACGGAATCATTATCAGCGGGTATCTCAGGCAAAACGATGTTACTAAAGCACTTGAACAGCTCGAGGTTATGAAAAATTCAGGGCATTCACCTAGAGTTTCTACATATACCGAGATCATGCAACACCTCTTCAAGATAAAAGAGTTTCAAAAGGGTTGCAACATATTCAGAGAGATGATAGAGAACGGAATCGAGCCTGACGGTGTCGCTATCACAGCCGTGGTTGCTGGTCACTTGGGCCAAAACCAATTAGCAGAGGCATGGAAGGTGTTTAGCAGCATGGAGGAAAAGGGCATCAGACCGACATGGAAATCTTATTCGATCTTCGTGAAGGAGCTCTGCAAATCAGCAAAGTATGATGAAATCATAAAGCTACTTAGTCAGATGCACGCTTCCAAGATAGCTATCAGGGATGATATGTTTTCTTGGGTTATCTCTTGTATGGAGAAAAATGGCGAAATGGAGAAGGTTGAACATATCAAAGAGATCCAGAAAAAGTGCAAATCCTACCGTTTAGAACTAAACGAATCTTGCAAACCAGAGTTAAGACGAGAGGAGGAGCTTGTTGATCGTCCACAAGCAGTGCAGCAGTCAGCTCTTCCACCAGCTCCATCTGTTGTTGATAAAATGGCTGTGCAAGAAATTTGTCGCGTGTTATCATCCTCTCGAGATTGGGAGAGAACCCAAGAAGCTCTAGAGAAATCGACAGTCGAGTTCACACCAGAACTCGTAGTTGAGGTTCTTCGTAATGGCAAGATACAGGGCAACGCTGTTTTGCGTTTCTTCTCATGGGTGGGAAAGAGAAATAATGGCTATAAGCACAGTACGGAGGCGTACAACATGAGCATCAAAGTCGCGGGATGTGGGAAAGATTTCAAGCAGATGAGAAATCTGTTTTACGAGATGAGAAGACAAGGTTGCTTTATAACACAAGATACATGGGCAATCATGATAATGCAGTATGGTAGAACCGGTCTAACGAACATTGCTCTTAAAACGTTTAAGGAAATGAAAGATATGGGTCTGATGCCGAGCTCTTCGACCTTCAAGTGTTTAATCACAGTTCTTTGCGAGAAGAAAGGCAGGAACGTCGAAGAAGCCACCAGAACATTCCGTGAGATGATTCGTTCGGGGTTTGTCCCAGATAGAGAATTAGTCCAAGACTACTTGGGATGCTTATGCGAAGTCGGTGACACAAAGGAGGCGAAACATTGTTTGGATTCTCTTGGCAAGATAGGTTTCCCGGTCCCTGTGGCTTACTCCATTTACATAAGAGCTCTTTGTCGAATCGGGAAACTAGAGGAAGCTATGTCAGAATTAGCCAGTTTTAAAGGAGAGAGATGTTTACTCGACCAGTATACTTATGGAAGCATTGTTCATGGTTTATTACACAAGGGACAGCTGCAAGAAGCATTGGATAAAGTGAACTCCATGAAGGAAATGGGAACAAAACCAGGCGTCCATGTCTACACGTCTCTGATTGTTCACTTCTTCAAGGAGAAACAGATGGAGAAAGTTGTAGAGACATTTCAGAAAATGGATGAAGAAAGCTGCGAACCTTCTGTTGTAACATATACGGCAATGATATGCGGGTACATGAGCTTGGGAAAAGCGGAAGAGGCTTGGAAAGTGTTCCGCGATATGAAAGAGAAGGGAACCTCACCAGATTTCAAGACATACAGTAAGTTCATAAACTGTTTGTGCCAAGCAGGCAACTCTGAAGATGCCCTGAATCTTCTATCTGAGATGCTGGAGAAAGGTATTGCTCCAAGCACTGTCAATTTCCGAACAGTTATCTACGGGTTAAACAGAGAGGGAAAGCAAGATCTTGCTCGGATTGTTTTGCAGAAGAAGTCAGCTTTAACAGCACAGCGGAAGGTATCTCCATGACCTCTCCCCTTGACATTTTAATGGAGATTCTGTTGTATCCATGGGAAGAATGCAAATGGGCCAAATAAAGTCTTTTTCTTACCATCGAATCTTCAGTGCTCTTATTACAGAAAGTACTATTCGGTTTTGTAAGATTTTGATCTAACAAAGAAAGACAATTCATGGAAACTGATAACAACGGTTGAAAATTTTAAACACAGAGAAGTTGCAAACACAAAAAAACAGCCACACTAATCATCCATAATTGCATTTAGCGTACAGCATAACAGTTTTAAAATGCCCACTTTCTTTGCAATACAAATGCAACCACTACGAACGCCGCTCCTAGTATGCTGCCTATTATTTTCCAGTGCTTGGTAGACTTAGACACTGGAATAGGCGCTGCCCATGTAAAGTTCTGGTCGTAGTTGAGGTATTGAAGGTATGGGTTTAATATACACAAATCTGAAAGTAAATCAATTTTTATTATAAAAAATATTTTTTATCTAAATTATTAAGTAAAAATAACTAAAAAAATAGTTTTCGTTTATAAAAAAACTATAAAAAATAAACCTACAAAATTAAGATGAGGAAAAAATGATATTTTATATTTAAAAATAATATTAACTATTTAAAACTTTAATATTAAACTTTACTAATAAACCTTTGTTGATATTTATTTACTAATATAAAATAAAATATTATTTATTAACATACTTCAAGTTTAAATATATTATTTATTTTTTATGATTGGTTATTTAGTCATTTATTTTATATAATCAAAAGAATTTAGAAAAAATGATAATTTAAGAAAAAAAAAATTTATAATATAATTGATATATACATGATAATATATACTAATATATAATAAATTTATAAAGATAAAGATCAGATATCTGACGTTGTCTAAAAATATATTTGTGATTTGTTCCATTTTGTACGGATACTGTATTTTGCTATTTATTTTGTTCCGAAGCTTTACGGATATCCAAATTTTTCGAATCGAATCGAAGCAAATATCGATTTGAAGCGGATATAACGGATATTTTGTCTACCCCTATCACCAATGATTCCATTAAGATCATTGTGAGAAAGATCTATCAGCTCTAAGGAACTCTCTGAACCACAAAGTGGCGGAATGGAACCTGTGATGTGGTTTCCTGAGAGATTCAGCGAGTGCAACGATAGAATATTGTCAAATTTGGTATTTATTAGATGGCACACAACATTTGCAAATAATCCATCTGAATTCTCAAATTTGTCTTAGCCCTGACACTAAATTATTACGTTTTATAAAATCAGGATTGTAGTTTCTTGTCACCATATGTTTGATGTTTTAACGGAAAATAGGAACAGATTTGTGTTATTATGTTCCGAAAACTGAAGAATCCTACTTATTTCTTCAAGTTTGATTTTATTGTTGTGCTTTCTGAACGTTTGAAGGTAAACAATTGATGAACTGCCCCTGATTTCGCTTATTATCTGCAGAACCTCATTGACCTGGCAGGTTCCGAGAGCTCAAAGGCTGAAACCACTGGTCTAAGGCAACAATAGGTTTTCTAAGCTTAGTTGAACTCAAGAACTTCTTTGACACTTTCTTTTGAAATAGGCCCATTAGATTGTTTTTCTCCCCAACAGTTTTCCTCGGCTTAATGGAGATTCTGTTGTATCCATGGGAAGACTAATTTTGTTTTTCTCTCTCACTCTCTCTCTCTCTCTCCCTAACATTTTAATGGAGATTCTGTTGTATCCATGGGAAGAAGGCAAATGGACCAAATAAAATCTTTTTCTTAGCAACGAATCTATTCAATGCTCTTATTACAAAAAAGCATGAAGCTAAGATACTTTAGTTATAAGCTATGTTTCGTTCCTTTCAAATGTGACCGTGTGAGGCTTTTAGGCAAAACATAAAAAAAAAAGTATAAATTTTGAGGAAGGGCTAGTTGCTGACTCATAGCTTCTTGACAATTTCTTCACAGGCTCGGTCATAATAAGTCATTCTCTGTATGCATTTAACAGCTTCATCAAACCTCTGGCTTTCAAAGGCTTCGACAAAAGAGTCGGAAGACTGCTTCAGTCTCTCTTGCACCTTGAGATAAACAACAAAGTCTCATTTATTAGATCAAGTATATTCAAACCAGTGCCCAAAGCTGCAGATTTTAAGGTGTTCGAAACTTGAGTTTCGGAAAAGCTAAAGAAAATAACGAGAGACCGAAGCATCTGAAGAAAGCCACACATTCAATAATTTTCAAAGGTACCTGTGATCGGATGTGGTTTAGCGCGTTTGAATCATTTGCTTCTGTTATGGCCTCTCTGAGTTCCATAATCTGGCACCATTTTCAGTGAGAAATTCAAGTGAATGTGTTTGTTTATTGCAGAAAAAGTTGCAGGAACTTAAATATGGCATCGAGATCCACTCACCTCCATTAACAATTCTGGATCTGTTAGTGTTTCTTCTTCATTGATATGTATGCCATTAAGCTTCATCTACAACACAGAACCAGCATCTTCAGCATGAATCACACTAAAAAAGAATGAACCGGAAAATGTAAAAGGAGCCTTACGATATAGATAGCTCTTGACAGCCGCTTGGTTAACGTCCGCAATGCTTCAGTCACCTTTGCAGACTGTTCAGCTGCGTAATCTCTTTCTTTCTGTTCACAGTTACCAAAACTTGTAAGAAAAATGTTTAGTGAAGAAGAGATACGCGGAAGAAAGCCACAACCTTGGATTTGTTGTGAACTAAATCTGGATGTAACTTCTTTTGCCAGTCTTTGTACTTGCTTTCAAGGCTTCCAGCATCTAACTCATACTTGTTCTCCCTATCAAGACAAGTTATTGAATTCAAAACCAATAAAAATTGCTATTTGATTTCAACTAATCATCCCAACAGCTTTTTGTTCTTAAACCCTAAAATGTAACAAAGGAAGCGTTTGATATTCTACTTACAGGCCAAAAATCTGAAAATAATCGACGGAATCATCAACAGGTTGAATGCTGCGGCACGAGTCGCAGAACAAAAACGCAGACGAGAAACCACAATTCCAGCACACGGAGCTTCTCCTGTCCGAGCAAAACGCTCTCCCGGAAAATCGGAGCCAATTAACGGAAATCGCCAGGGTTTTAGCTGAAGAAGGAGGTTTCAGAGAATCGCGGCTGAAGTGAGGTTGTGAATTAATCGCAATCGTTGCGAGTGGATTGCACCGGAAGTCTGAAGAAAAGGTTCGTCTTGTTAAAAGGGTGGAGATTGAAGCCACCAGCTTCTTTGTTCTGTTCATCGGTGACGGGAAAGAGAGACAGAGTTCAGGTTCAGGCTCTGGAGACATCGTCGTGTTCCATTTTAACTTACCGTCTCTAGTCGAACCAATCCGGTTAAGACAAAACTCTAAAAAGTTGGTTTTTTCGGTTCGTATTAATCGGGTTAGAGTATTATTTGTAGCTTGGATCAGAACTGATTGAAGTTGCTTGATTAAATTAAATTACAGTTTTTGGCGTTTAAAACAAAAACTCGATCCACCACACCTGTAAGATCTAATCACAAGGATAGATTCCTTGACATTCAAAAAGAGCAAAACAAAAAAAAGAAAGAGATTTGATCTGTACAACAAAACATCTATAATCATCAACACAATAGTTAAGTTTAAGGATATTTATCCCACCAATCGCAATCATTGTACATGCGTATACTAGAGCCGTGATGGCGAATCCAAAAAAAGTTGTTTAATGCACCAAACATAAGATGGTAGTAGACTTGTAAAAGCCGTAATCATATATGCACATACTTGTTCACATCAAATGTGGTCACAAACTAGTCAGAGGGGTGGTCGCTTCATCTTGAGAAGATGAGAGATACCGGCAATGACATGCGCACGACTACTTGGAACTCCTGTTTTGGCCAATGCTTGTCCATTCTTGTCCAGCAGAACAAAGCAAGGAACATACTTTATGTCATAGTGGAGAAGCTGCAGCATTTCAGATACAGAGAAATCTTGAGTCAACCAACAAACAAGCGCTCTATTTGAGTTATGCAGCGAGGAGATAATGAGAGAAAGAAAGAGCTTTGTTTTTTTTACCTCAGGAAACCATTTCTCATTCTCTGCATCTGCCATGGTTATGCTGAGCCAGTTCGAATTCCTCTTCTCTACCACTAAGACAAAATTGAGCAGAGAATTGCAGAGTCTGCATTTAGGCGAGTAAAACTCAAGCACTGTGGCTTCTTTCTCGCTGGCTAACGCAGCTGCAAAAGCCCTCTGCTCTGCTTCTCCTTGCTCATAACTACTTAATGGCTTCTTCTTTGGTCCAGTGACTCCATGACCAAAGCCGAATGAATTGAAGGAGCTGAGAGCGATTGAACCAACACTTTGCATAGATCTGAAAAGCCACGGTCCTTGGAAGTCGCAGACGCTTGAAGGTTTCGGTTGTTTGTTTGAATCCCACGGCCATTTCAAGCAGAAGAAAGGCTTTGTTGGAGCAGACGCGCTCGTGATCTTTGACTCCATCAAGTTCCGCTCGACTTTAATTCCGCTGCAACGGAGAAGAACGCTGGAATCCAAACTCGCCGAGAACGAAGGCGAACAAGAATGCAATTCTGTGACGGTGAGGAGAGAGAAGAGAACGACGAGATCGAGAATTGGGGGTTTGGAAGAAATTAGGGTTTTTTTTTAAGATCTTGGTTGGTTAAAAAATATTTAACCGAGCCAAACCAAACCGTAACTTAAAGAATTCGGTTTATCTTTTGGGTTGAAAAAAGCGAAGAGTTGTTTTTCCTTACCAATTTGGAACTAGCTTTGCCAAATTTGTATATGATCATTACTTGAAAAGACATAAGTTTACAAAAAGAATCCACAAACTTTTGCATGAATCATGCAACTGAGAAGAAGAGACTCTCAAGTTAAAAACAATCCAATATTATCTCGTATGGTGCCACAAAACTCTTGTTCTCCTTCAGAGCCACGACTTGAAAGCAAAGCAGCGAGCCTTGCGTTTTATCCGCAAGCTCTCCTTCTTACCTTTGTTTAAGATCCCATCCTTTTGTCCTGTCACTTTCTCGCTCTTCTCTTCTTGGCTAAAATTGCTTGCCTCTTGTGTGACCGTTGAGGTTGAAAAATCTTGCCTTTGTGATCTTTCAGAAACAGTTCTTTCAATGATGTTCTCTAACAAACTGACTGTCTTTGTCTGATTCTCTGCTCTGTTTGGCGACAATTTCTCAGCTTCTTGGATCGGCGTTGCATTCCTGACCATGTATATTACTCTATCTAGAGTCCCTAAAGCTTGTTCTACCTCTGGACTGATGCAAAACCGTCTTCCCATATCATCGACATGAGTCTTGGCATTTACATTCCCCTCCTCTGAAGAAACGCTTTCCTCAAAGTCTTCTTCTTCTTCTTCTTCTTCCTCAATCTCAGTAACTGTTTTTCTGAAATGAGCAGGTTCATCTTCACTAGCACCTTCATCATTCTCGTGTTCTTTCTTTGGCAGAGAATCGCCATTCACTTCACCATTGCCTTCCAACTTTGGTTCTTCCTCAATTGCCTTATCTATTGAATACAGAGCTTGGCGTATTTTGGTGTACAAAGGATCAGCTAAAGCTCTGCTGTAATCTTCATCATATTTAGCCACCGAAGCAACGGACTGTTTACATCCAAGTTAGAAAACATTATTGAAACCGCGCGGAGACATCAGAACAGAGAAACCAAAAACCAGGTCTGTCTGACCTTTTTATATAGCCTGAAACCGTTACCGACGACCTGCCTAGATACAAAATTCATAAGAGATGGAGGCACAAAGTCCAGCTTTATATCCAGCTCCCCTATCGTCCTACGGAAAATCGACAAAAGGCTCTATATTCATAACCAAAGACAACTAACATGCTGCAATGACTACAGTGATCATCATCACTAACCTGAAGTAACTCCTCTCAGGAGTAACCTTTTGTAAAACAAACCCGCCTACGAGATCAATCCTCACTGCATCAGTTGGTTCAGGTATAACGTTCTTGGTGACATCCTTAGAAGAAACTCCGATGCTATCTAAATTAGAGATCTATAAAGTTGCAAAACAAAACTGATTTCAGACAATGTCAAGTTGTAAATACCAAGGTTAAGATGGAAAAAAAAAACACGAAAAGGATTTTTGCTTTACCGAGTTCATAAGGATGACGACAAGTCCATCTTTGAAGTATTCAAATACGAAAAAGTGCACAATGATCTCTCTCTCCGCCAATGGCCATGGTACCTTCATCCTTTCTTCCCACAATGATAAAAGTTTCCAGATTAGCTTCATAAGTTCAATAATAGGTTACACAAGAAACCGAAAAACAAACTTCCTACTCATTTCATTTGTGAACAAACCTCACTAAGCATATTTGTTCACCGATCCCGACATTTTGCAAGCATGTGCTTTTTAAGACCTTGAATGGCGGAAATGTGAACTGTGGCCACCTGTATACATATACATACACAACGTCGTAAACTAGACAGTATTCCAACAAGACATGAAGATCTTGAGAGTCTCACCATTTCTTGTAGAGGGTTGATTCCAGCGAAACGCACAAACCTGCATCATCACAATTGAGTCCAATTACCTCAGATGCAGAATCATGTTTTTAAAACTTTTGAATCTGCAATCAAGATTTTAATAAAAGAAACTTACAGTTTTCAACAGGGGCATCCATGTAACCTTCGACGAGCATCGTGTGAAAAGGACTTCCATCGAGTCCTTCACGGTACATAACACGGCAATCTTCGAGATCTTGTTTCAGCTGTAGAGAGAAACACTCTTTTGCTATGTCGTTACAATCCAAGGTTACAAAAATCACAAAAATGGAATGTGTCTGAAGTCAGAACCAACGAAAAAAAACATACTTTCCAATCACCACAAGATGATGCATCATTGTCTCCAAGATGATCTGTCATGGAAACACTCCTTAGCGTGCTAAGCAGCTTCCATACATCAGCTGCCTTTTTATCTAATATATCCTCCCTATACTCTACAAAATTATCACATCATCACCATAAAACCAAATCTCGTAGTGGAGTTATAATTAACAATAAATAAAAATAAGAAAAGGGAAACAATCGTTTTCATCGGATTCAAGAAGCGAACCTTTGGAGGAAGAAAGCTGATTTCTGAGAAGGGATTTGAGAGTCTCATGATTGGTGAGCTCAGGAGAAGACAAGGTTTTGTCTAGTTTATCTCTGTACTCACAGATCTCTCGTTTCTTCTGCATATTCAATCTCTCACTTCCAAATCCTGGAACTAAAGACCAATTCACAACAGCAAATCAGCTATAAGAATCAAAAACCCAACATTATATTGCATAAACCCCACAAGAATTAAATTTTATGATCCGATCGCAATTTAAAAAGGTAATAAAACAGAGGGGGTGAAGAGGAAGAGGATTAGCACAAAAAAACCCTTAAACTTACGGCGTTTCTAGAAAAGCTTCTTTTTTAGGTCGGAGAACAAAACGTGGCCGACAAGACGGAGAAAGATGGTGAGAGACGTTTTGTTTCCTTTTTTTTTTCTCGAGAAAATTCAAATCATTTCCAGGAATAGTCGGAGTTTCCAATAAAGGGATGAAGATGCGTAATGGCAAAGATTATGGTTGAGATTAGGCATAAGAGACTGACAGAGATAAGGGTTTAAGGAAACGGATAGGTGTCGGTGTCAGAAGAGTGAAAGACAGGTGGGAAGAGCTCTGCTTCCTAATCGCATCTTCTTTCACTCTTCATTTCCTTTTCTCTTTTAATATACGCATATGACAAAAACAGTCATAAATAGGAGGAGACGATGATGATAGACTCATTATTTTTGGGGTCCTCTCTTAAATTTGGCATCTCTCCTAAATAATCAATTCTCTTTTGTCAACTTTTTTAGATGTACAGCAAGACAACCAATTAACTTAGGTATTTCCACTTAAAACCTCAGGTACATATGTTCCAGCGCATTGAATGCTCGTTTCAGGCACAAAAACGGAAAACCACAAATCATATTACAACAAAAGAACAAAACTAAGTTTGTAGATATATCACTCGGATAATTGATCCCAAACATTGAAGATAAGCCATCCTTCAATGGCTGCAGCTTCAAGACGGTCTTCAGACCCTTTCTCCTCCCACTTCGACTCAATCGAATCCAGCCGGCTCAAATCAGACCACAAGACCCTGTGCGCTAACTCTCTCGTCCCGAGATACTCAAGCAACAGAGTTCCACGGGCTTTGGCAGCCAGTTTCCCGACCTCAATCGCGTTTCTTATGACAAGACCGTGGTTTTCCCTAAGCAAGTCCAGGTCTTCCTCGATCTGCACTCCAACGAAAGTGACAAACTTTGAAGCAAAGAAACGGTACAGGTCCTTGAGGTTGTCATGAAAAGGGTTAGGGAGTCGGAGGAAGAGGCATAGGTTTCTCGTGCTCAGCTTCACGGACGATAGACTCCACCCTGACTTTTTGGTTCCTGTTTCGAGGAATGCGACATCCCAATACACATCGAAGATCACCGCTCGGTTTCCATTCAAGATCGAATCTTCTCTGATAAGAGAGAGGTATGGAGAGATGTCCGTTGATGATCCAACATCAATGGCTTTGGTCTGAACGTAAGAGCCATCAGTCATCTGGAACTTTGGCCCATCAAAGGATGCCATGTGATGGAAGGAACCCTGAAGAATTCACAAATCAAATATGTATCAGATTCAGTTATAGTCGACACAGTTGTAGAACACAATTGGGATCAAAGATACAGCCAAAATATAAATATAAGAAGGGAAAGTAAGATAGTGAATCTAACTTTCACTTTTAGCACGAAAGTCTTCCTCTTTTTACAAAGTTTGGAAGTACTCATTCAGTTGGGAAATGCATAGACATTTGGGTACATTAGGTGAAGGAAGGATCACACATTGGATACAAATTTGAATGTGGCAATGAGCTAACAACGAATTGATCAAAGAAGAAGTATACAACTTTTTGGGGTTTTGGCTATAACTGTTTATTTCCCCTAGTTCTAGGTTTGATTACCGAACAAGAGATATGCGAATGTCTACTTTTCTTCGACTAATTTAACTATCAGAGGAACAAAATTCGACGACTTTAATAGCTCCACACACATTTCATCAAATCTCAGTTCTTGTAACTCAAAACGATTGATCCGAGAGATCAAAATCCCCTGATTTTCAAATGAAAGCGGAATTATACGAATCGAATTCCACACAATAGTGAGACATTAGCTGGTGATGAGAAGTTAAGATGCAGAAGGATAAGCAAGAAGAGATAGAAGGAGGATGAACCTTTAAATTCGTTCCGGATAGAAGAAACTGTTCTTGGGATTCTGCCCTGCAGAAGCGAAGAATCAATCGAGGCGATTAGAATTCACGAAATGACGACTAGACCAATTCTGAGGAATTATTAAACTCTAGCGACGACACATGTCTTCAGTTTGCTTAACCAGACGTTTGTAATTTTAGATAACCAATCCGGTTCAGCCAAATCGAACCGATTGGAATCTAAACGAAATTCTTTTAGGTCTTTTGATTGGTTTTGTTGTGTCAGTCTCAGTTAGTCAGTTTATCAATGGCAGCCAATTCTTGCCGAATAACATTGTGTGACACAATTTTTCATCGTTATCACCATTACCACCCAGGGCCGGCTTAGAGAAAAACTTTATGGGCCATGTCTCGATTTGTTTCTTCTTTTGCTTGTTTTTTGGTCAGAGTTATTTGACTGATATACTCTAAAATATCTTAGGTCCAAAGATTACCCATTTTTTGTTAGTTTATCGTGGAACTTGTGCAAAAGCACAGTATGCACATGACTAATTGTGCAAAAGCACACTGTGCACATGACTAAATGTCACACTTGTCGTTAGCGGGTGTTAATTTGATTTTGCCATCAAACTAACATAGAATATTAATTCGTTGGGAGTTGATAACCGGCAACTATGGAGAGCATCCACACTATCATTTTGCCAAAAACATGTGCTCACACCAAACTTTCGATTCTAAAATGGTTGAGTTGAAGAGTTACATTTCCACATATACTCTCAAGTTTCACCCTATGTTAGTAGAGTTCACACAACTTTTTTCAATGTCTATACATCTTCAGGTGTTACGAAGTACCACACGCATTGAAATATTCAACAACTATTCTCTTAATCTATACTCCATTACTAGAATTGATTTCACATTTTCAAAAGTTCAAATATGTTAGACCCAAATCACTTAACTTGAAAGTTTCAATATAAATTGGTTTGGTTAGTGCACATTTACTAGACATTGAATTGTTAAAAGGTTGTTTGTCCATTCCAAATTAAACAAAAACTTACTACACAGGCTGATTCTCCACTATTTCTAGGCCCATCATCCCCTCATTTTGCTATACACATATCGCCGCTTCTACACCAGCCTACATAGCCAAAGCCTACTCTCTCTCTCTTTCTCTCTCTTTACTTTCAACAAATTCGCCGCTTATCGCCTCCGATCTTCTTCTTCTCCGAGACACACAAGGTACGCTTTCGTCTTCTTCTGCTCCGATTCTCATTTCTTCGGCAGATTCGTTCATCGATTAGCTTTAGGGAACCTCTCGTCGAAATTTCATTTTCGTTTGTTTGTTTTCCGAAGCTTCTTCTGTTTACTTGATATATAAATATATATATTCTCCTCAGTTACTATATGGAACCATTCGTTGTAAAGGAGAACAGTCTCGCATCTGCTTCGTCGCCGCTTAAGAAGCGACGGATCGATCACACTGAGGCTATGGCTGATGGTTCCGAGGTTCTCGCCTCTAACTCCAACATCGCTTTCAACAGCATCGGTGGTGACGAGTCGCGGCTCAACATGGCGGCGTTTGGCAACAACTCCAACAATCACGAGATCGATGAAGATCTTCATAGCAGGCAGCTCGCGGTGTACGGACGCGAGACCATGAGGAGGCTTTTCGCTTCCAACGTTCTCATCTCAGGGATGCAGGGCCTTGGTGTCGAGATTGGTAATGCTTTTTTTTCTTACTTACTCTCATTCCTAATTTGCTCCATTTACGCGGTTAAAATTTTCTTGCATGTCGCTTATGTGATTATCCTGCTGGTTGTTCAAGAGTTTCAAGCTTGTGTATGGATATGGACGTTTCATGATTGTTGCGATTTTTCCCCAGACGACGAAAATTTACCCACATTTTGACTCTCTCTAAACGTATTTATTGATTGAGTGCTTGCTTTGTGGGCTAGCTTTACTGGCAGATTCGGGCACTTGAAGTTGAGTCTGTAAAACTGATAGATTAGCCTGTTTCCCTGATGAGTTAGTGTGGCATCATATGTGTGCATAGTCACTATCTTTGTAATGATGTATGTATATTGTGTTCTTTATTTCCTTTTTTCTGATGATAAGTTCTTTTCCTTTTTAGCCAAGAATATTATTCTCGCTGGTGTGAAGTCAGTGACACTTCACGATGAAAATGTGGTTGAGCTATGGGACTTGTCGAGTAACTTTGTTTTCTCCGAGGAGGATGTTGGTAAGAATAGGGCACTTGCATCTGTTCAGAAGTTGCAAGAACTCAACAATGCCGTGGCTGTCTCAGCTTTGACTGAGAAGTTAACCAAAGAGCAGCTTTCTGGTTTCCAGGTATCCAAATCCTTCCTTTATTTGATTTATTTCTTTTTTCTCGTTCTAGTTGTCAACTTGTCAATAGTACTGTTATGATTATTGTTTGGATTGTTCGTAATTTTCTCAATAAATACTGGCTAATCCCTTTTGTTTTCCTCTGATGCAGGCCGCAGTATTTGTGGATATCTCCTTTGAGAAAGCGACAGAGTTTGATGATTACTGTCATAGTCATCAGCCTCCTATTGCGTTCATCAAGGCTGACGTTAGGGGCCTGTTTGGGTCATTGTTTTGTGATTTTGGACCTCAGTTTACTGTTCTTGATGTTGATGGGGAGGAACCGCACTCTGGCATCATCGCTTCTGTTAGCAATGGAAATCCTGCATTTGTTTCGTGTGTCGATGATGAGAGGCTCGAGTTTGAGGATGGAGATTTTGTAGTTTTCTCTGAAGTTGAGGGGATGACAGAGTTGAATGATGGAAATCCAAGAAAGATAAAAAATGTCAAGCCGTATTCATTTGTCCTTGAGGAAGATACCACTAGCTATGGGACATATATGAAGGGTGGGATTGTCACTCAGGTTAAACAACCAAAGGTGCTGAACTTTAAACCGCTCAGGGAAGCAATTAAAGATCCAGGCGACTTTCTTCTTAGTGACTTTTCGAAGTTTGACCGTCCACCTCTTCTCCACATAGCATTCCAGGCACTTGATAGGTTTTCGTCTCAAGCAGGCCGGTTTCCGTTTGCCGGTTCAGAAGAAGACGCTCAGAAACTAGTGGAAATTGCAATTGATATCAACGAGAGTTTGGGTGATGCAAGGTTGGAGGATGTTAACTCTAAACTATTGCGGCATTTGGCCTTTGGATCCAGGGCTGTTCTGAATCCCATGGCTGCAATGTTTGGTGGTATTGTTGGACAAGAGGTCGTCAAGGCATGCTCTGGGAAATTCCATCCTATCTTTCAGGTAAAGTCTTTTCTGTTTGAATTTTCAGGATGCATCTGTTCAGTGTATGCAAAATTTCCACTTGTTGTTCTTCTATTTAGATGCATCCACTATAGAAGGACTAAAAGTTCCTTTCTACCTTTTTAATAGTACTTTTTTTGTTCTTGGTAATCTTGTAATGAGTTTGCATCACCTGCGCAGTTCTTTTACTTTGATTCGGTGGAGTCACTTCCGAAGGAACCGCTTGATGCATCGGAGTTTAGACCACAAAATAGCCGTTATGATGCACAGATCTCTGTATTTGGGTCTACTCTTCAGAAGAAACTCGAGAATGCCAAAGTTTTTGTGGTAGGGGCTGGTGCTCTTGGATGTGAGTTCTTAAAGAACTTGGCATTGATGGGTGTGTCATGTGGCGTTCAAGGGAAGCTTACTGTCACCGATGATGATGTAATTGAGAAGAGCAACCTGAGTCGTCAGTTTCTTTTTCGAGACTGGAACATAGGACAAGCTAAATCCACAGTTGCCGCAACAGCAGCAGCGGGAATAAATTCTCGTCTCAACATTGATGCTCTCCAAAATCGTGTTGGACCTGAGACCGAAAATGTCTTTGACGACAGCTTCTGGGAGAATTTGACAGTTGTTGTGAACGCGCTGGATAATGTCACTGCAAGGCTTTATGTCGATTCAAGGTGTGTGTATTTCCAAAAGCCTCTCCTCGAGTCAGGAACTCTAGGTGCAAAGTGCAACACACAGATGGTTATCCCTCATCTCACTGAGAACTATGGTGCCTCGAGAGACCCACCAGAGAAACAGGCTCCGATGTGCACCGTGCACTCGTTTCCTCACAACATTGACCATTGCTTAACATGGGCCCGCTCTGAATTCGAGGGTCTGCTTGAGAAAACACCAGCTGAAGTTAATGCATACCTCTCAAATCCTGGTGAATACATGAATGGGATGAGGACTGCTGGTGATGCTCAAGCGAGGGATACTTTGGGACGTGTTGTTGAGTGCCTCGAGAAAGAGAAATGCAATACCTTCCAGGATTGCATAACCTGGGCTCGTCTGAGGTACTCTCTCATGGTGTGAAGTGTAAACCCTTCATTTATATAGCTGATTGTCATCTCTTAATATAAGTTTCTGCTCACAGGTTTGAGGACTACTTCGTCAACCGTGTGAAGCAGTTGATTTACACATTTCCCGAGGACGCTAATACTAGTACCGGAGCTCCATTCTGGTCTGCCCCAAAGAGATTCCCTCGGCCGCTCCAGTTCTCCTCAACCGACCTGAGCCATATCAACTTTGTCATGGCTGCAGCTATCTTGCGCGCAGAGACCTTCGGAATCCCTACTCCAGAGTGGGCTAAAACACCTACCGGACTAGCCGAGGCTGTGGAAAGAGTGATAGTCCCCGACTTTGAGCCGAGGAAAGATGCAAAGATTGTGACAGATGAGAAGGCTACTACTTTGTCTACAGCTTCAGTCGATGATGCAGCAATAATCGATGAACTAAACGCAAAACTGGAGCGGTGCAGGCTGAGCTTGCAGCCGGAGTTCAGGATGAAGCCAATCCAGTTTGAGAAGGTGAAATCATAATTGTATCCCAACCCTTTTTCAAATTCTGTATTCGCATGACAAGCGCAACTAACATTATTTATGCTTGCTGTTTATAGGACGACGATACCAACTACCACATGGATATGATCGCTGGGCTAGCCAACATGAGAGCAAGGAACTACAGCGTTCCTGAGGTGGACAAGCTTAAAGCCAAGTTCATCGCGGGAAGGATCATACCTGCGATTGCAACATCAACGGCTATGGCAACAGGTTTTGTTTGCCTCGAGCTGTACAAGGTTTTAGACGGGTCACACAAAGTGGAAGACTACAGAAACACATTCGCCAACTTAGCGCTCCCACTCTTCTCCATAGCCGAGCCGGTTCCACCCAAAGTCGTGAAACACCAAGACCAAAGCTGGACGGTTTGGGACCGTTGGGTCATCAAAGGAAACCCAACCCTAAGGAATTTGCTAACGTGGCTGGAGGAGAAAGGACTAAAAGCGTACAGCATATCGTGCGGAAGCTGTTTACTGTACAACAGTATGTTCCCAAGGCACAAAGAGAGGATGGAGAGGAGAGTGGTGGATCTTGCAAGAGAAGTGGCCAAGGTTGAATTGCCTGCTTATAGACGTCACTTGGATGTTGTGGTGGCTTGTGAGGATAACGATGATAACGACGTTGATATCCCTCTCGTATCAGTCTACTACGCCTGATTAGAACTTTAACATCCCCAAAGTCTTCTTTATACGACAATAGTGACAAGCATCTCAAAAGTGTGTTGGGTTTGAGAGATAGAAAGACAAAAGAGAGTTTTGGTGTATGAGAATAGTTTTAAGTTCTTAAATTCGACTGAATTTTCAAATAATTTGTTTTTTCCCAACTATTTTTACTTAATTAGTGATTTCGTTGATGATATATGCGAAATGGACAACAAAGGTCCATTTGCAGCTTATTCTAGATCAGGAACCAATTACACGCAATCCTAACACAAATCGTTTTGAAGCATGAAAATTTCACACCTAAATACAAAGTTAGATGAAACACATACATAGTTATTGTAACTTCAACTACAAAGAGGACATCTCACAAGCCCGTTCTCATTACATTCTCTGCACCTCGTCCACATCTTATCACTACTAGTCTCTTCATCATGATGATCTGCATTAACCAATCTTGAGCTTCCATTACAACTAGAACATATCAAAAACCGTTCGTTCTCGCAACATTCACAAGGCGAATCGACCAGAGAGATCCCTTCTAGAAGCTTCTTGAGCTTCCCGTTCTCGTTCAATGCCACAACTTCATCTGCTCCTCCAATGTACCTACCTCTAACGAACAGCCTCGGAGAAGTAACTTTGCCACCAAGCAACCTCCACATCTCTTCTCTAAACTCTGAATCCATCGAGACATCTCTCTCTCTATACATCACCTTGTGATTCTCCAACAAGAATCTTACTCTTCTACAGGCTTCGAATGTTTTCCTCACTCCTCGCAAACTCGTCGTGTAGAATACGACCGAATCTTCTCCTCCGGGTGGGCAGTTCTCGTCGAAGTCCAAAAGGATCCCTCTTTCTTCTTCAAGATTCTGTTCCTGTTCTTCAGCATCTACTTCCTCAAGCTCTAGTAGCGTTGGTGTAACACAACCTCTGCTTTGACCAGATTCTGCGACTATTCCGTCTTTTAGATGATGGATTGTGCGATCAATGTTACTCTTGTGAAGAGCTAGGCCTTGCTTCAAGGTCGTAACAATGGTGATGAGTTTGATTTTCTTCGCCAATCTTTCCTTCATTCCCTTCATTGCTATCAAAAATTGGATCTTTTGTTGGAAATAAAAAAGAAAGAATCTGAAAAGAGAGGTTAAGAGAAGAATTCCGATCAAGATCAAACCAAAGATAAGATCGGGTGCGAGGATAAAAACAAACGTAATGGGTTTTTCGTTTTCAGGTTTCTTCTTTGGTTAGCGTGTGGGTACCCAGTTTTGATGAAAAAAGTTTCAAAAGCCACTTTCTGGGTTAGCTTTCAAAAGTCTTTCTTGATGAGTTTTATTCCGAACAAAAGAAGGAAAATAAACTCTTTTTTTTGATGGGTCACTGCTACAATAATCAATCACAGCGACAAAACAAAAGACTCAATGAGTAATGATTTTACCCAATCAACCCAATTTGCCAGAGGATAAAAACAAAGAAAAAACGAAGATTTGTATAATGGAGCTTAAAGAAAATAAAAAAATTTAATAAAGTGTTTCTGGTAAGAGCCATCGATTGATTTAGAAGTCTAATTCCTTCTTTTAGTCCGGTTAGAATTACGATAATGCCTGTCTTGTCTTTTACACAATTCCGGAAACGTGCAATGATGTAAGATTAGTGGTAAAGTAGCTCAGCTTTAGCTAGCAGATTCGAACTAGTCAAGTTTTTTTCTATTTAAAACTCTGATTACTTTTCGCATTACAATATGGTTCAATTGAAGTAACGGTTGTTAAGAAATCGTCAATTATACCGTTCCAAGCAATTTTGACTGACCACATGAGACCTGGTGATATGTTGAAGGAAGCAGTAAACACCAAGCATGTATATTATATATATCTATGAATGATGAAGATCATCAAATCCAAATCCAGGCCTAACATAACTGATAAAGCTAGAAAAGAAAACCAAATTTTGAAACCATATATATACAATGGCAAGTATCCGCCGGTGAGTCTGCTCTAAATGTCGGCCACAGATGGTCGGGATCCAATGTCGATCGAGAATCTAATGCACGTTAATTCCTTCTTCCGCGCATCAAGCATCTTCATTTGCAGCGAGTATGAACCCTGGAAGATATAATAGATCATAAGAGTAAGAATCGATCATCGTTCACACATTCAAACTAGTCGTTTTATCAGATTCTGAATAAAGCCATCCATTATGATTGCAACAAAATCTTGAGAGTGAAGGAGCAAAAAAACACGAAACAAAGCAAATCGAAACTTACAGGAGGAGTATAACCAGGAAGAAGTTGAGAGTGTGCAACCAAGAAATCACCGGTTTCTACAGGACAAGTTGTCTCGGTGCAGAGGTCATGCGTCTCCGAGTGAATATGCCATCCAAAGTATGAAACTTCAATCACCAACTTCCCACCCGAAATCCCACGGCCTTCATCAAAATCAAACAAAATCATAAATGTACTGCTTGAACTCTTGAGAATCAATCTCTACATACTCAGAAAGGCAAGACACATCCTTACAACCCTCAGCAGCAGCATTCACATTTTGATTCTATCAGAATAACTTAATACATTGATCATCAGAGCTATATACACGAATCACAAGGAAACGTCTTTGCATCATTGGTATCACCGTATCAGTATCATCCCAAAATTTTAAGAAAACAAAAAAAGTGTTGGAAGAGTAGTGAAAAAAGGTAAAGTGAAGCAACCTGTGTTTGCAGAGATGCTGAAGGTAGCAGGCTCGCCTCGAGCTATAGGGTTAGGCGATATATCAACCTCTTTCACTTTTACTTCATACTCTTCATTCTCCTCTACAAATCAAATTCATCATACAATCAGAGCAGAATCAGAAAAAGGAAAATCGAAATTCACACTATGAAAACGATCAATTACGAGTAAGAACTCGATTGGGATTCAATTCAATAAACCCATTGTCTCGAACAAGAGACATCACGAGGAGAAGCGGAGGGGTCAAACATACCACAATATTGGATATCGGTGGCTCGAATAGTCGTAGAAACAAAGAGGAGAAGAGAAACAGCGAGGGGAAGAATCGCGATTCTGGACTTCATTGATGGAATCTCGGGAGCTATAAGGGTTCCTTGGATTGATGTTAAACGAGAGAGCAGAGTAGAGTGCGTAATCTTTGGATTCTTTATATTCTCAAAGGAATGTAGGCGAGATCTGGACCGTTCTTTTAGTTAGGTCATCGTTCCGTAAAAGTGAAAAATGGACGGTTAGATTTTGTTGAGCTAGTTATTCGGTGTAATTGATTTCCTTCCGTAAATCCCTCATAACGAACCCATTACGTAGATTTTTTTATTTATTCTTTTTGGTGAAAGGATCAGTGAGTACAAATTTTAACAATATATATTCTAATTTTCAAAGACTAACATTACAAACTGTCTCAAGAATAAATAATAGATCGCTAAAATTGTTTGTATAAGGAACCAAATAACACCCGTGAAACTTTACAGCTTGAAAAAATAATATACTCTGAAAAAATGTCAACAAGAATCAAAATAATAAATAAATAAAACAAAGGGGACGACGAAGTCAAATATCCATGGGCCGGCGGGAAAAGGTAGCAACGTCGGCGACAGGTGTCATCGCCGGAGACGGCAATGGAGACGTACGACATACGGGACACGTAGCATGAAGCCTGAGCCAAGGGTCAACGCATTTGTCGTGGAACAAATGGTTACAATCGGGCAAAACCCTGATCGTATCGGTCTTCTTGTAATCCGCAAGACATATAGAGCAACACGACGTCGTCGTCGAGTCCCTTTGCAAGCTATAACTCACACGAGCCTCTTCGTAAGGAAGCTTAGGAAAACTCTTGATGACCTCCTCGTTCAGCCCCAAAACTTCGACAACCACCACGGTGTCGTTTTGATCATCATCATCGTTCATGTAAAACCGTTCTTCGCCAGGTGACCAAGTTTCATCGGTCTGTCTTTGCCGGCGTCTTGACCTTGGAGTGATTGTAGGAGAAGCGGATATATGGCTTCGAGTGCAATAATAAGAAGCGAGGGTGATTGTGGTAATTAGGAGAAGTATACCAACGGAGACACCAAGCCCGTAAGCGAATCCACCGATCCTATCGGTGGCTGATAGCCAGCGGTCGGCGTCAGGCGGCACTGCCGTCGCATTCATTGCGGCGGATTATTAAGTTTTGATTTTATTGGTCTCAAGAAAAAGTTGGGTATACAAGAAAAGGAGTGAATGTTTTTGGGAATGTTTGGTTTTGGTCATCACGATGATGATTAAGTTCCGAGAGTCAACGTTTAGATGTGAATTATGACTTATGAGGTTTTACAATATATGATAACGACTAGTGGCGTATAATAACTTTCACAGATATTCCAAATTGTTAGACGCGCGTTAATCAATCATTTGGAATACGTTTAATGTGTAAACGTTGATTAATTTATGATTTTTTGTTTCTTATTTACAAATAGGTTAAAACTTAGAACATGAGTTTTTTTTTTTTGGAGCCTACAGGTTAACATATGTAAATTGTTGAGTACTGAAGCAAGTTAAACCTATAAATTAATCAAGTTTGGCATAGATGCGAATTCCAGTTTCAGTAGACCCTAATTTGTTTCCTTAAAAAAAAAAAGATAAAAAGATAAAAGATAGAATATGATCAAGTCGCCTTGATTTATTTATTTTCTACAACTTGCGACTTTTGCATTTCTAAGTCATATCCGTCTTTTATGTTTTCTAGAAACTTATTCTATATTTCTACCATGCATTTTTTATGTTCCACGGTTTGGTCAGCCTGTTAGATTATTGATTGGGATTATTTAATATTTTTTTTTTTAAACTGGCAAAAACATAACATTTGGTCGAAATCAGGATAATCCTTCGAATCTGCTATTCAAGACGTTTACTGGCTACGATGGTTAAATAAAATTTGTAGTGAATATATGTAGATGAGGAGGACTTGATCTCTAATCTAGACACAAAATAATATGTTTTTATACATTTATATGTTTTTATTTTTGTTTATAATGTACTTACATGATTAACCTTAGCCTTCACCTATTATATATGCTTGTTTATTGAAATGTTAAAACTATATTTAATTTTAAATCTTGTACGTACACCACAAAAAAACTTACAACACTTCGTGATAAAATTCGCCAGAGTATTCATCTATGTTTAATGCTAGTTCTCTAATATTGTATTTTTCAATATCAACAAATTAATATATTGAAATTGAATATACGTAATTCACGAAATCATGGTTTTAGTCAATTTTGTTTACAATTATAGATTTATTTGATTTGTCATGCAGGACTTATGTTCATCATATACTGTATTCTTTGCATTGTATATATCACATAAACATACATAAATACACACACACATATATATATATATATATAAAGGCTTGGAATAAAAATATATGCATCACTTTAAAGTTTTATTTTTTTAAAGAAACAATTAGTATAAATTAAGACTATTTATTGTATATATTATTTCTATAAAATATGTGTATTACATTATTAGTATATAAAATATATTCTCTCTATTTTAAAAAGACGATATTTTAGAAAAAAATGTTTCAGAAAATTTTTTTTTTTTATTTATCAAAATAAATTTTGTCAAATATTTTCCAGTTTACCCTTCTTATTTTGTTCGGTTTATTTGATATCAATAAATTGAAACGTAAAAATACGTGTAAAATTTTTTAAAAAATCTTTTTTAAGAAATAGAGGAAATATCATATTATGTATATAAATTTTTGGGCTTTAGCCTATATATGTTATATATATAGGCTTCGGGCATATATATACGTGAGATATCTTTGTTTATCTTAAACCTAATTTTCTTTATTTTTTCGCCGTCTTTTTATGTGTTCTTCGATACACTGAAATCTCAATTAGATATTCGATATATAAGTTTTCTATTAAATTATATTTTTTAATTAGATTTAAAATGAATTCAACCAAAAACATTTTTATAATGAATGCTTTTTGCTTTGAATTTTTGATCCTCTTCGATTTTGCTGGAGATTAAACGAAATGAAAAAGAAAAGATTTTCATCGAGTAGCAAATGAAGCTTTCATCCCTCTTTCGTCTCTAACATCTCCCATACTTTGTAAAGAAGACATTCTATTGTGAATTTGCTTGTTAATGCATTGGACTTGTAGATGAGTAAGACTTGAAGAGTCCGCGTATCTTTCTCCGTTTCTTCCCTCCAAATGGAATGGAATATTGTCTAAACTTTCTTCAAACTATTCACGGTGAGTATTCTTCTCTTAATATTTTTTTATTAGAATTTCTCACTTAAGTTGCATGTTATTATTTAGATTAAATCTGTAAACAAAATTAAAATATCTAAACTTTACATCTTAATCTGTATTAGATTCGTGGAAACATGTCCTAAGTTTTTGTGTCCATATTAGCTTTTATCAGATTTTAATATCGTGTAATGTATATAGTAGATATTTTTTTATAGCTATGGATTGTGTTGCTGCTTTTTAACGTGTATACAATATATGTGTACATATATACGTATCCTATGATTGAGTTGATAGAGACCTTTGACAAAAAGAGTTGATAGGTACCTAATATATTTTTATTTAGCAAAATTAAAACTATTCAGTAAAAGACAAATAAAACGATCAGAAGGAAACAGCATAGAAATTGTAATTTGTATCCTTAGTAGTTTGTGTTACTACTGGTCGTCAATCAATGTATCATCATTTGGTTTCAATCAAGATTTCGTATGCATGCTATTGACAAAAATAAACTTTATGGATATCAAAGTGTTCGTAAGAATACATTTCGAAAATGTAAAGCAATTGTGTGACATATATTTTATGAATGTGTTAAAAATAGTTATCATATATTCAGATAGGTATGGGTCAATGGTCAACCATAGTACTTTGGTTTCCTTCTTCCGTTATGTCTAAAATATGAGTACCTTTGAGCATTAATGTATGCTTTAATCAAGTAGGTATTTGTGAATCGTTGACCATAGTAATACTTTTGTTACTTCTTCCACTTTGTCTTAAATACGAATGCAAGCAACTGTTTTGGTGCGAGTGGGTCACATCTCGGTTTTTTGTTCTCTCTTTCTATTTGATCAAATAACTGTTATTTTTCTGGACGATCATATTTTTAGTCTTTGTAATTATAATTTCTTTTTCTAATTTTTAAAGTTTTTTGGGTCACGGGACCAAAGCAAAAAAAAAAAAAAATGGGACCTTTTGACAAAAAAACTTATAATTGTTGTATTGTTTTTTGGTCTTTATTTTGTTCGAACATGAACAATAAAAATTACAATTATAGCAATTATATATCTGCCAAAATGGATCTTAATTTTTATTTATTTTAAACACAAATTATTTAAAATTTTAAAACAAATTTTCAACCGGTCATGACTGGTACTTACTGAAAGCATGCAATACATATGGATAGCCTCACGCTATCATCAAAGTTTAGATGTAATTTAATATATGCTCGTACTCTTTTTATGTATTTGATATGCAACGAAACATTTAATGTGCCGTCGAGGAAAACTAACTGCTTTATTCTTTATTTTTCTCTTCAGCTGTATTAAGTCATAGACAAAAACTGATAATTAATTAGTGAAAAATGTTTACTGAAAAAAGAATTTAAATGAAGTTGTAAAGAATTAGTACAAGCAGAGAGTAGAAAAATCGAAAGATGAAAAAACGTGGTCATGGTGTATTGGTAGTTTATTATCATGCTCCAATATACTTCTACCACTTCGATTTTTCTACTCTCTATATTAAAAAGACTATGCGGAAGATCCATATTTTTTTTTTTATGTGTTTAGAGGACAATAGAAAATCGAAATAAAATTGACGTCTTATACAAAATGTAAACTTTTTTTTCTTTTTGGGCAAGTTATACAAAATGTAAACCTAGTTAGAAAGATACATTTTGTATAACTTGCCCAATTGAGCAAAACCTGGAGCATAAAAATTAGAATAACCTAAACTTTTGTTAATTACCAAAAAAACCAATTCAAACAATATTTTTCTATATGCCACTTATCTCACATATATTGAAAGTTTAGACACTTGATTTATAAATAACTAATTCTGTGGGAACAAAATTGTATTTGTGATAGGGACAAAATATACATGTGAGGCCACAAATGTATCATATCTACAATCTTGATGTCCTTATCTCCTCTCCTAGACTCTTATATAAGACCACAAGTGCATGACGACTCTCTTATCACACCACAAAGGAAGATAAACACAAATCCAAGTGAGATCTACTAAGTGAAAGCGATGGCAAGATCAAAGGTGCAGTTTGCTTGGATCGTGAACAGAATGGAAAGAAAAGCCGCTTACAAGAAGAGGAAGGAAGCATTGATCAAAAAAGCTCAAGAACTAGCCATCTTGTGTAATATGGTTGTTTGTTTGATCTTTTTCAGCCGTGAGGACAACCAGTTGGAGGCGTGGCCGTCTACGGAGGTGGCTAAATCTCTCATTGACCGCTATTTCTCATTACCCGCCTTCCAGAGGAGCACGAGGGCGCTGGATCAAGAGTCGTTCATCAAGACCAATATCCAAAAGGTCAAAAAAAAGATCGAGGACTCGCAGAAGGTCATTGACGAAATACAAATGGATCTTCTGGTGGTTGAGCTCCAGCATGGCCTTCGCGTTGATGATCTTTCCCAAACCCAGGTAGAGAAATTCTTAGCATATTCAGATAGGAAGATTAAGGGTTTCGGGAGAGTGTTAGGGTTTTCGGGACAACCTTGTCCAAATCTTAACGAACCATTTCTGGGGGATGATAACCCCGGGGCTTTGGATGTTGTGCCCGGAGGGAGCAGCTACACTCCGACAGGAAGTGGACCTGTCTATCTAATGGATCAATGGTTCATGGACGATCCAAATGTCCAAACGCATGGCGATGAGACGCATTTACCCAGAATGGCACCTCAATTCAACCTAAACGTGGAACCATCTGATGACGACGATGAGGACATGGAGGTGGTGATCTGTAAAGGAGAGTGCAGCAAATCTGGTGGTGCAGAAGATGATTAATGAAGTAGCCGTCGTCGAAGAATAAAATAAGTGTGTCTTGAAATAAAGTTGTTGTTGTCTCTATTGTTGTCGTGTCTTTCTCATTTCATATTTCCAGTGTTTGTTGTTTCGGTCATGTTTCTAGTTGTGTCTTAAAGTCGTGTCTTTGTTTGTCATCTCAACTTAAAACCAATGGAATGTTGTTTCTTTGCTATTCTTTGCAGTTTGAAGAACTCATCTCGTATTTAACGTACATGTTTTTCTGTTTACTAGTTAAACATAAGGGTATTGTTTGAGAATAATTTTCTTTAACTAAATCATGGTTATTAACTGAGATTATCATTGACATGCACGTACAAGTATAGGTATACATGTGGATCAACAGTTTGATATGGAGTTATTTTCTTCATCGTTTCTTTTATGATGCTTGTGTAAACCTAAAATCGAACATTAGTATCAACTTTCTTGATTTCTTCAGCACTAAATCTTTCGTTACTATATAAGTTCATTTTTATTTGCTATAACAGATTATTTCTCTGCTATTTTACTAAAAATGGCTTGGTTCATGCACGTTTATTTTAAATGCATTCAAAACAAGAAACTTCAATGGAAGAGTATGGAAAATATTAAAAAGCTAATGCATATATTTATATGCTATTTTCTTTGTTTAACATATAATACGATATTATATATGGAATGAATGAGCTAAAGTAGTAGTAAAAGATTATATTGCATGTATATCCTGTTTCTATATTAACAAGATATACATGCATATATAATCTTTTATTACTACATTAGCTCATTCATTCTATATACATTTCATATATGATATCAAACATATCTTATATAAAAAGAAAGACTAAATAATGTTCCATTTGGGATGGGTCAAAACAGAAAAAAGTATTATTCAGAAAGAAAGGAAAAGGAAAGACATATTTTAGAGTAAATGGTTATATACAGGCTGTCAAAAACCAATTTGATAGATAAGATGATAAGGTTGGAGTAATTATGTCAAAGTGAGAAGTGATAAGAATATCTTAAATTAAATCGTATACTTTGCTCATATAATTGATAAGTGTTAAAATGAGTTTGAAATTTGATGGGACGATTTAATCCAACGTAAGTAATTACTCAATTGAGCTGGATACTTAATTCATTTAGTCAACGAGTAAAACATGTTTTATATTGATTTAGATATGTTGAATATAAAAAGTTAGTTACAGTAAAACTTCTATAAATTAATAATGTTGGGATTCTTAAATTTTATTCATTTATAAAATTATTAATTAATCGATAAATTATTAATTATTAATTTATCGATAAATTAATATTTTATTAATTTATAGAGATATTTTAGTTTTAATTTTTAATATTTATCAAAAAAATAAAATTAATATTTTCAACAATGTAAAATATATTAAAAAATGTGATAATGATAAATTTAGAAGATAAATCAAACAAATTTTATAAACTTGAAGCAACAATATTATCATATTTTACTATATTATATTATTAATAAATGCTGAAATGTATAATTATGAATTTATGTTATTATTGGGACCAAATTTTTACATAGAATTTTTAAAAAAAGTAGTATCTTATTATCTTATCGGATTTTGTCAATTTTTACACTGGTCCAATTTGGAACCGACAAAAACTATTAATTTATAGTGATTATTAATTTATCGAATATTAATTTATAAAAGTTCTACTGTATTTGACCGAACTTTTTAATTCTTTCAAAAAAATATAATTCTTTTATAGTAATATATATAATGGGGAAAAAATAATACATGCATTCAAAAGGTTGATGACAAACAACTACTATAAATCGCGATCTTGACATAAAATTTATCATATCACTATAAGTTTTATATTAAATCATGATTTATAGTAGTTTATTTATCATCAACTTTTTAAAAGCATGTGTTTTTTCTCATTATATATACCATTATAAAAAATTTATATTTTTTGAAATAATGAAAAAATTTGGTCAAATAGCTAACTCATCATATTCAACATATCTAAATCATTATATAACATGTTTGACTCATTAACTAAATGAGTTAAATACCTAGTTCAATTGGGTAATTATTTATTTCGGATTAAATATTTCAACTCATTTAAACATTTATCAATAATATGATCAAAGTATCCGATTTTAGAGATTCTTTATCACTTCTCAATATAACATAATTTCTCCAAACTTATCACCTTATCTTCTAATTTGATATTTTTTTAGTTTTTGACAGCCTATATTTAACATACATAATACCATATTATATATGGAATAAATGAGATAAAACTAAAAGATTATACTGCATGTATATATTGTTTCCATATTAACAAGATATACATGCATATATAATATTTTATTACTACATTAGCTCATCCATTCTATATACATTTCATATATGATATCAAAAATATATTTTATAAAAAGAAAGACTAAATAATGTTTTATTTGAGATGAGTCAAAAGAGAAAAAAGTATTATTCAAAAGAAAAAAAAAAGAAAAGACATATTTAAGAGTAAATTGTTAAATACAGGCTGTCAAAAACTAAAAGAATATCAAATTGGAAGATAAGGTGATAAGGTTAAAAAAATTATGTCAAAGTGAGAAGTGATAAAAATATTTAAAATCAGATACTTTGCTTATATTATTGATAAGTGTTTAAATGAGTTGAAATTTGATGGGACGATTTAATCGGACATAAATAATTACCCAATTGAGCTAGGTATATTACTCATTTAGTCAATGAGTCAATGAGATAACTTTTTAATTATTTCAAAAAATATAATTTTTTTTACAATGGTATATATATATATATATTGGGGAAAAAAAAACACATAAATACATTCAAAAAGTTGATGATAAACAAACTGCTATAAATCTCGATCATAATATAAAATTTATCGTATGATTCTGCTACTTACCCAAATTTTGGTATTGTAAATTGACGACACCAAAACAGAATCACGAATGTAACCGAGTCCCCCAGAAATCTTTTGAGTACAATCCATCAGAATCACGAATGTTATCAGTTTCAGTACAAAAACTAAATAAAATATCAGAGAAATATCTGATGGTTTGTCTCGATGATGAGAAGAGGAGCTTAGGGCTTGTTTATATAGCCAACATTATCAACACCTTAAACGTATCATAAACAGGTATGATGCTGACTACGTAAGCCAATAAAGGGAGGTTTGAGAATTTATTCTCATTATCACTATTTGGTCATGCATTAAGCATTTTAAGTTACACAAATCAAAATTGATCTTGTACTTTAAATTCCACTTGACCAACATCAATGAGTGGAGATATTTTTCTTGACTTTGTCAAGTCAACAACAAAATTTATCCCAAAAGATCAATCTTTTGATCCTAATTAGGCCTATTAAGATATTGAAAAAGCAGTTTCCGTGCATCCACGAAGCAGTTACGATTTCTTGGTTGACTTTCCAATCATCGACGTTTGGAACAGAGACCCTGATTGTAGACGAACCCTTCGATATCTAAAGCGTGGGAACCAAGGAAACGAAGAATAGAGAAGACATAAACTGAACTGGCCCAGATTTCAATGGGCCTTCATTAATTGGGCTTAAGATTTCGGTCCATAATAATTTGTCAGACTGCGGAGTTGTTTTTGTTTTTTTCTTTTCTGCTAAAACTTAAAAGTTCAGAGCTACAGTATTTGGAAATAGAAACGAGCTTAACTCTTAATATCAATTTTTTTTTTTTGTTTCAGATGGGAACAAAAGCCAAACTTGACGACAACAGAAGTACTACTATTAGTTAATGGAGATGCGGGATGAAAATTGATTTGAAGTGGTATCATTGTAGCTTGTGGAGAGCGCACGTCAAGCCAACGCTACAGTTAACAAAGAGCAATAATTTATGTCACCTAATAAACAATAATTAATTTAGCATTAAAACGTAAGACTCGCATGAAAGTTGAAGGTGATTGGTTGATGGAGCTATAGTTCTTTACACTTGTAGTTGTTCACCCATCTCTCTCTCCTCTCTCTGAATCTTTGTTTCTTTTTTGGAACCGACATGGCTCCCAACACATAGGAATCTGAAGCCTCTCTCTCTCTCTCTCTCTCTCTCTCTCTCTCTCTCTCTCTCTCTCTCTCTCTCTCTCTCTCTCTCTCAGTCTCACTTCCTCTGTGTGAGTTTTCTTATCCCAATTTAGATTGTTATTGTAAGATTTGGTCACCAATTACGGTGTGGTTTTACTTGATTTCTTCAGCCTTTTTCTATTTTTGGGTCTTTGGCTTTCTATTGGAAATCTTGTTATAGCGTTACCTACACATTAATATTTCGTTTGTTGATTAGATTTCTTGAGTATACTTTTTCGACAAAGATTTAATTGATAGAGAAACCTTAGCTGTTGACTTTTTGATTTTGTTCAACAGATTTTTCATTGGACTTTGGACATTAAAGCTATGCAAACTGAGTACTGCAAGGAGAGAGAGAGGTTTTTCTCCCCTCCACAGTCTTCTTCTTGGTGGAATGCTTTTGGATCTCCGCCGTTGACTACAGGGAGCCTCGCCGGAGACTCTTACGAGTCATTTTCAGGAGTTAAGGTAGCTACTCCTGAGACAGAACAAAGTGTGGATAAACAAAGCTCTGCAACCCTCTTCACTTTCTCACCTGGTAAAACTCTTAGGGAGTGTTCTTAGTGAAATCCTGAACTCTCTAAGCTAAGTGTGTTTCTTGTATAAATTGATAACCGTAACATACACATGTTAAGAGCTTGCAAGAAGACATTTCGATTGTTCAAAAAAAAAAAAAAAAAAAAAAAAAAAAAAGAAGACATTTCGTTTGTTCTTAAGATATATCTCTCTGTTTCTACCACATTACAGAATGAATATAAAACATTTATTCAAGGTCAATTTGCTAATTTAATGTAGGTGGTGGAAAGAGTTCAAGAGATGTGTCAAAGCCTCATGTTGCTTTCGCGATGCAACCGGCATGCTTCGAGTTTGGATTTGCTCAGCCAACGGTGCGGTTTTCTTGCAGTGGAACATGTTCCAAAACCTACTAAATTCCTTAATCTTTTGTTCCTGAGTATTTGCTCTACTTATGCTTTCATGTAGATCTATACTAAGCATCCTCATGTAAAGCAATACTGTGGAGTTGTTTCAGCCTATGGATCTCAGATGTCGCCAGGCCGAGTAATGCTACCTTTAAACATGGGGAATGGAGAAGATGGTACGATTTATGTGAACTCAAAGCAGTACCATGGAATCATCAGGCGGCGCAAGTCACGTGCCAAGGCTGTTCTGACGAACAATTTGAGTAAATGCCGTAAGGTAACTTCTTGAAAACTAATTGATATTTTTTTGGTGCAGTTTGCATTCCCAAATTATTGCCTTATGTTATGTATGATGCTGCAGCAGCCATATATGCATCACTCGCGCCATCTCCATGCTATGCGCCGCCCTAGAGGATCCGGCGGGCGTTTCTTGAACACCAAGAAAGATGATGCGGCTAAGAAGCCTAAGCCAAGCAATTCTCAAAACTCTGAAGTCTTTCATCCGGAAAATGGGACCATGAACCAATCAAGGCAACCAAACGGACCGGGATCAGAAGTTACAAGTATGGATTACTTTCTAAGTTCGTCGGTCCATTCTCTTGGTGGCATGGTCATGCCTAGCAAGTGGATTGCAGCAGCAGTGGATATTGGCTGCTGCAATCTCAGAACCTGATCAGCAAATAGGGACAAGACAAGATTTGGTGAACTGGTTTCCTGTCTTGTCCCTTATATGTTTCAGCCAAACGAAGAGATAATTTTTGTCCCAAAAAGGGGCATTGAGTGTCCTTACACCGTCCCGTTTGGCTGTAAACAGGCAATTCATCTTTGGCTCATCCTTCATCAAGGTGTTGTTTCTTCGTCTGTTTTCTTCTACGCATATTTATAAGATTTGAGTTGCGGAAAAATGGTGGTGAATAATAAAAGTAGAAGAACTAGTGAAGAACAATGATTGGGTTTGCTACTTCCCTCTTGTTCCAACTAGTGTGTGTGTGTGTGGTAAAAAACAAAAAAAAAAAACTCTGTTTACCCCATTTTCTGATGTTGTATTGTGTGTGTGAATTAACGGTAAGAATTTCATGTTAAATAAGAAAAATCTGCTTGTGATGATAATGAGTAAAAAACAAAGCTCCTTTAACCTTTCCATAGCTTGAGAACTTTATCTTTACCACCAGAGGCTACTTTCTCACCATCTGGACTCCAATCCACAGCATAAACCTTTCCAACACAAAGGAAACGACAAATCAAGAGAGAAAGAAAAAGATTGTTTTAAAAAAAAAAAAAACCTGAGCTTTGAAGGTGCTTGATAGATATACCTCAGCCACATGACCAGCAAGATCACGTTTTAACGTTTTCGTTCTAATATCCCAAACCTGTGCAAGTGAAAAATCATCTGGAGTTTTATCTGCAAGTTTTCTTCAAACAAATATTATTACGTAAAACAAGTTCTCTTTTTTAACCTTGAGAGTAGAATCTTGACTGCAACTCAAAAGCATCCTACTGTCGGCGGACCAACTGATCTGATAAACATCTCTAACATGGCCAAGGAATCTTGCAACGAAAGCCCCTGTGGTACCATTCCATAGCCTCACAGAGTGATCGAACGATGCACTTGCAATCCATTGCCCATTTGGTGAGAAACACACATGGTTTACAACAACCTGTTTTATGGGATTCACCACAAAACAATTTACAACGTTAAGAGTTGGAAAATAGAGAAAGAGTGATATCCAAGTAAGTATCAACCTTTTGATGACCCGTCAAGCGATCTTCTTTACTAGCTTCTAAGCTGGTTTTAGGTTGTAAGCTGACAGATGGTTCCCAAAGGATTAATGTGAAATCATCAGAACCAGACACTAATCTTTCAGGAGAATCCTTCCCTTTTGCTTTCATGTACCTTTCAAGAGCAATCTAAACCAAAAACATATATATATATATATATATATATGAGGCTAAGAAAAAAGTTGAAAGGAATCAGAGGCTTATTAATACCCTTTTCATTTCTTCATCTGAAGATATTTCTTTTCCAGTGTGGTCAAAAGCTCCTGTCCTAAGTACATACTCTGTACTCAATGAAAGAGAATTCACCCAATGCGCATGCCCCTAAAGAAGCAGAGTAACAACTTAAGGAATGCATCTGAAAGAAAGGCAAAAGATCAATCATTTTGCGAGAAAAAATATTACTTTCAATACATGTTTAAGCTTCCCCTGCGTAGTCTCCCACATCCTTATCGTACAATCTTCGGAGCTGCAACATGTTAACCAGACAAAGAGACTGCAGATTAACTTCATTCCACTATTTGTCATAATATACATTACCAACACACTGCAATCATCTAAACTTTCAACCATAAGCTACATTTGATATATTTGTGGAAAACATAGATCTATTAATAGAAATGTACCCTGTATATATGGTTCCATCTCCACCCCATTTGACACAGGTCACAGCACGTGTGTGTCCACTCAAACAGATTAGAGATCTCCTCAGTTTCAAATCCCAAATCCTTGCATCCCCATCTTTGCTACAAGTCACAAATCTCCGGCTTGGAGAGTTTAAATGAACCGGTTCCCACGCGTTACCAGTAATCCATTTCCTATGACCCTAAGAGAAGAGGTCAAGATCAATGTCATCAGTAAAACGTATCACCAACAAAACCTTCATAAAGTACAAAAGAGAGTTTTTAACTGTAAGTGGATTGCCCTGTAACTCCCCTTTGATTGGATCCCAACAACAGACTTTGCCATCTTTATCACCACTCACGAGTGACTTAGCATCTGGTGACCATGCAATTGCGAGAACATGATTCCTGTGCCCTGAAATCATTAGAGGACACACAAAAAGGAACTATTACAAGCCATCCGTATATATGTAGAGAGAGAGAGAGAGAGAGAGAGAGAGAGAGAGAGAGAGAGAGAGAAACCAAAAAACACAAATGCATAAGACTATTTCAAACCTCTGCATGTAAACATTGGAGTTTCAGTGTTGAGATCCCAAAGCCTTACAGTTGTATCACCTGAACCACTTGCTAGTTGCTTACCGTCAGGACTAAACGAAACACAAAGAACAGCATCTGCGTGACCTAGTTTCCCAAAGAGAGCCAATCATTATCACTCGGACCATTTAGGAACTCAAATAAAGAACTTGGGATGAAACTTTGACATATATATATACCAGAAATTGTCTGTGAGCAACGATTAACTGGTCGAATTCGGAAAACAGCTTGTTGTTGATAAACTATCTTCAAAACTTCCTCCACGGACACTGAAACGCACAATTTGTGCCAATACATATTAATCAAACATACTACTAAATAATTCATAGAGCAACCTCTTAGACTAAAACTGCTTGCTTATGATCAGGTGTTTACCTCTATTTCTCTCCATGTAAGTTCCAACAGAGACAAGAAGCTCTTGGTCTGCTACATAGAAACTGTACGGTAACTTCTCCTCCTGAATATTACCAATCATTTCCACGAAAGCAAAAAAAGTTGAAATGAAAACAGAGGAAATCCATCACCCAGAAACGAAAAATCACAGCTTTAACCGATGTAGTAGATTCGAAGGTATTGAAGAATTACGTTGTTGAGAAACGTATTGACGAAGTGGGTAAGCTGCAAAGGCCCAGCATCGTGAGGGATATACATAGCAGAACCTAAAGGAGTTCCTTCTGCGTCTGTTAGTAGACACATCACTGTCTCATTCGCCATCTCTGACTCCTGCGGTCCCATTTTAGAGAGAAGACTAAGACGCACGACGCACGTGCGTGTGAAAAGAAAGCCTTGCGATATAAACCCTTGTTATCAAAAGGACGCGATATAAACCCTAAAATGTAGAAGAAATATTTGCAATCGTTATTTATTGTTTTTACTAAAAAGTACCGAAGTTATATGTATTTATTTAAGGAAACCCTCCAGATTATTCGTCTATTTACAAATAAACCCCTATTTTTTCTTCTTAAGGTTTAACCACTACAATTCCCAATTATCAAAAAAAGATCATGTTAATTCATCGTTACGATTTACGAAATTAACGCTTCATTCACAAATAAACCTCAGTTTTTTTTTGGGGTTGAAAACTACTAAAATTCTCAATTGTCAAAAGAAAGTTCTTTTAAATTCGCCGTTAAGAAACTAACTACAGCACTAACATACATACATGTGAACAAATGAATTTTTTTTAACTGGTTAATAAAAAAAATTATAGGCCGGACCAAAAACGAATGGACAGGATTAGTCAATCATGAGCTTACAATAACCCTAGTGAAGTGTGAATACTAACAGTGTAAATCCACAAAAGCTAGAAATGATTGGGACTAGAGAACCTCTGATCAAACCAAGGTTCTTCGTGTTAATAGGCATGAACCATTTAGATTTCGATATACTAATTACAAAGTAAGACATATCTCTTCTCCAATTAAGACTTCTTTCACCACCCAATCATTATCAAACTCACAACACATTTGTAATTAAGCTTTAAGTATCTTAGGACCAAACTCTTAATTGTTGTCAAGGATTGGTCGTGTTAAGATCATCAAGACCTCAAACGCGCTTTTACGTCTTCTTCGTGCTTCTTCTTTTTGTTATTTTTTTATCTTGTGCAAAATGGGTCATGTTGTGATCTTCATTTGCCTTAGAGACAGATAAGCGAGGAGGCGGTATCCGAAGATCATGGCAACGAGTGCGACCACTTCAGTCAGTCCATTGTCTATTCTCATCCCGTTGATGGATTGAGCTAAGTCTTGGTACTGTACTTTAAGAAGAAGCTTGTAGGTGTGGTAATTGAAGGATAGGTAACGTATCCAGGAGATGAACACCGGTACTTTCTGCGGGACACAAAAACAGAGGAACTCAGAAACAGAAGACATTGACAAAACAGAGGACATTGACAAAACAGAGGCATTTAAGAAACAGAGGCATTTAAGAAACAGAGGACTTACCTTGACAAAGAATCCTCCGGCGAGCATAAAGGTCATGACAGTTACTGAAGCCAAAGTCGTAGCCTTCTTTAAGTCCATTAGAATTGCGCCAATAGCAAGTCCAAGTCCCTAGCAAAGAGAAAAAAACACCATCAAAAATCAGCAATTTTTTCCGTGATAAAATGTGTTGTTTTGGAACTGAGTAATTGTAATACCTGAGATGCAATGATGCAAAGGAAAACCGTGAGCATGCTCAGGAAGAAGGGATAAGGGCTGAGACGAAGGCCTGTCATGAAATAGACGACGAGAAGGAAGAGAGAAGGCAGAATAAAGTCGAGAGGGAGATCACTCGTGGTCCGAGCTAGGAAATACGCGCTTAGCCTGTACATATCCGCTGCTCTCTCCTTATTCAGCATCGCTCTCTCTTGCGGAAACGCAAATATAGCCGTAAAAACCGGGAAAAATCCCCAGAAAACCGCTATGAAGAAGAGCAAACCGGCCTGCAAACCAAACAAAAAAAACAAGAGATTTTCATCTTCGTTGCATCAAAACCGACCCGAACTAAGATTTCTCAAACAGGAACTACAGTGACAATGTACCTGATCCTGTAGTCCTCTTGGAGTCCGAATATCCGACTGCCACCAGAGAAGACCTAAAATGACAGCTGTGGAAAGAACTTGTGTAACACGTAACCAGCTGAAGTATTCGTGTCGCCGCTCTTTGAGTCCTCTGGAGAAGAGTATGCAGTATTGCTCCCACCAGCTCGCTCCCCATTGTCGCTTTAAGCGCAATACTTTAGCCTTGGCTTCTTCGTCGAGTGGCGCAGGTTCCGTTAGTTTCTTCTTCTCCTGTTCCGCAACTCGAGTCTCGTATGCCTCCACCAGATACTGCTCAGAATTTTTCAATATCATATCAAAACTCAATTTGGTTTTCGGATAATCTTAATTTTGTTAGAAATGCGGTTGTTTGTTTCTGTGGTTACCTCATGAACAGAAGCAGGAGATGGCTTCCCGGCCTGAGTTTCTCTGCCTGAGTTGCCAACTTGAACTCTATCCTCTAACTCAGAAGGCACAGAGATGTCGTTGATGTTACCATTGGCGAGATCAAGCAAGAACTCTGCAGGGTTCATGGCGATAAGAGGAGAGCATCCAATGGAATTAAAGTAAACCAAAGCTTCTGATGATTTCCCAAAATACAGAAGGTTTCCTCTTCCCAGTAGAATCAGCTTGTCGAATCTATGGAAGAGCCTACTCGAGGGCTGATGTATCGTTGTGATCACTGTTTTCCCCGCCTGTTCCAAACACATCAAGATTCAGACAACCATCAAAGAGAGTATAGAGATAAACAAATCATCTGAAACACATAAACCTCGGCGATGTCGTGGAGCATCTGGATGGTTCTTAGAGCAGTGGTGGAATCTAAACCGGATGTTGGTTCATCGAGAAGTAATAGAGAAGGATTAATGATGATCTCGTTTCCAATGGAAACCCTTTTCCGCTCTCCACCTGACACACCTCGCACGAATGCTCCACCAATCATTGTGTCTTGGCACCTGCAACAAAACGGTCCAAAGTTATTAAAGTAAAGACCAAATTTGAGTTGTTAATGTTTTGGAACCTCTACAAGATGAAACATACCTCTCTAAACCCAACTCTTGGATAACCTCAAAAGCTCGTTGCTCTTTCTGCTCCCTCGTAAGAGTCTTGGGTAGACGCAAACGAGCAGCGTAGGTTAGCGTTTCTCTCACGGTAAGATGAGGAAACAGAACATCGTCTTGAGTCACAAACCCAATCCTGTCACAAATTCAGAAAACAATTGTTAAGTCCCCATGTCTTTACTTACGAGAGAATTTGAGGTTTTAGGGCCAAAGATACTGACTTGCTTTTCAAGTATTTAGAGTAAGGCTTGTCGTTGTAAGTAACAGAGCCACCCGTAGAGGATTGAGAGATTCGACCACCGAGTAAGCTAAGAAGAGTTGTTTTGCCACTCCCTGAAGGACCCATGAGAGCAAGAACTTCCCCGGGACTCACACTCCCATTGATCCCATTCAATATCTCTTTCTCTACAGATGAAGTCAGTTTCTTTATCACCACTTTGTATGTAACTTCCCTGAACTGCATCGATCAAAACCACAAAACCGCCACTAAGTCTTGAGATTAGTTCACTCATGATGAAACCTACTTTCAGGTATCTTAAAACATATTCTCACTTCTTCCCCCCTTTAATTTGTGGACTTAAATAGTAATTTAAGTCTTTGTGTGTGTTCAAAGAAAACTACATTATAGTCTTGTACATAAATGTCATGTAAGATGAGATTCTGTACAAGACTTTAACCTGATGAAAAGTAGATACACAGAGATAGAGACAAATGTGTGATATTTCTTTTGATCTCCTCTCAGTGCCTGTGCAAACAGAGAAGATCAGTACTAAAAGAGATCAAATCCCACCACACACGAAAAAGCTCCAACTACTACAATCCAATTTCTATTTGAAACGTAACACTAAAGAAACATAATCAACGACCCCAATGTATTCTTCATTTCTTCTGTTTAATTGCCTGATTTGATATGATCATCTTACCTTGAGAAAGATGGGTAATGTTGGTTCTGCTTGAAACCTAGGTTTCTTCTTTCCCGCTTCATTGTCTTCCGCTGAAACAGTTAGGTAAATCTGTTGATTCATCGTCACGAATTAAACTTTTAAGGAAAGTGGTCAGTGAGATGAATAATTTTACAAAGTGGCAACTGAGCTTTATAGTATACGTTGTGTAACTGTTAGCTGGCCAATCTTTGTTAACTGTTAGTTCAAACACTTAAAACTCCGAAATTGGGACCCACAGTTTTTGACTAATTTAGTAGAGATATTTTTGACTTCTTCTCACCTAATTTTTACCTACTAGTCCGTTAGTCATATTAAGCTGTTAAGTTAAAGAATCTTAATCCATCGCAGCAACGTGGCGTTCACAAATCACTTTAGTTTCTATTTTATCATTTTACCCTATTCGCTAGTTTATAACTAATTATTTAGTTTCTACCTATATATGCACTTAAACATATACAATTGAATCATTACTAGAATGACAAAAGGAACAAAGTGTTATACGTGGTGACAATCGCTAGTGCTGAATTATTGACTTCCTAAAAACAACACTCAGATTGACTAAATATCAACATATCATAAAAGGAACAAAACATATTTTAAAAGTTTAAATACCCATTATATATTAAATGTCCAATCTATGCAAAACCAAACTTTTGTTAATGTACGATTGTTTGTGAAAAAAACAAATTGTGATCAGCGATTGGAAGCATTTGATTTTGAATATTGGGCCATGCAGCAGTCTAATTGAAGATTTGATTACACTCGAGTTGTAGTATTCACTGTTCATGTCCATCTTAAATAAAGCAATTATCATGATTTCAAATCATTAGGACTGACAAAATAAAACATTATAGTAGTAGTTAATTTGTGTGCGGTGAGTGGTGATTATAATAAAATATTGGAATTGGTTTTAACTAATACAACAAAGATATTTATGTATCTTTTAATGCTTTCTCATTACATACTATAAAAACATATTAATTGCACGCACCACCGAATTTGCAATTGAAAAGTGAAAAATACTAAAAAGATAGATAAGAAAAATCAGAAAAGTGAGAGAAAAATAAGTGGTGGAAAGTTTCTGATGCACGAGAAAGAGAGAACACGTGGAACAAAATAGAAGGCCAATGGTTTGCGTCTGTGTTTTAATAATTTATCCGACTCTCATGCAAAAAAGCAAAGCAACGCACACCAATCATATATCCGTTGTTA